CGCAGCAGAAAATAGGGCCTGAATAACTGATTGAGTGTGTGGACAGTGTTTCGATGAGTTAGGGGTCTTTGGCCATTATTCGTTCCGTGGTAGAACTTTTGCCTCTCCCGGATTGAATTCCTGGCCAGGGTGTTTCGTGCCCACTCGCCATCTGTCTGTCAATGGAGGCTTGCGTGTTGTCATGATGTGGTACAGGTTCCAGCAGAACTTTCAGACAAAGACAGTCTCGGGAGAAAGCCCTGGCCATCTACGTCCAGAAGTCAGTCAGTGAGAGCACTCTGTATCCCCACCGGTCATGGGCAGAGGCAAGATGGGGAAGCATTTCTTTCTGTTGGATGTGGGGTCTCCTGTGTAGGAGGCTAACTTGATAGCAGTTAAGAATAGCACTGGCTTTAAAGCTGGGCCCTCTGTGACATTCATAAAGTTTGATTACAAATCGTACTTACTCCTGGTCTTGGATCAGCCAGTCAAGGGTTTAAATACATTACTCTTGCATCCATTCATCCATCCACCCATCCATCCATCCATCCATCCATCCATCCATCCATCCATCCATCCATGTTTGCTAGTCAGTAGTGAAACCCAAGTAAATATCCAGCCTAACATTGACCAGGCACTGAGACTATAAAATGAAGCGCAGTTGCTATTTTAACAGAATGCATAATCCACGAGTCACACCTCCTTCAGGACGGGAGGTAATATGCTGGAGGATTGGAACTTTTATCAGACAAACCCTTGCCTCTTTCTAATGCTTTTGAAAACAAGTCTTGGGTAAAAGCGAGAGATAAACAAAATTCCGCATTCTGAGCATATCTGAGTCATTTTCAAGCCCTTGTTAATTTAACCATCTATGACTCATGGTTGTGTTCACTTGACCGTGCAGTGACGATCATGTGGACACGGTCTCATGTAGCACTCAAGGACATTATTAGTAGCCCCAGTGCTTCCTGACCATTTCACATCATGACACACGTAGCGCATGATCCTCTTTTTGTGCAACACCAAGATAAAGGGATGGGAAATTCGTGAGTGGACCGCAGCTGGAGGCTCTGCGTCCTCAGCCTTGCTGGGTATCGGAGGGCTGGTGGAAATCAGTATCGCTGCACGTCTAGGGGTGTTTGCAGCATCTCCATCAGGGAGACACAGTCTGTAGCTCCGAATGAGATCATGCTCAGGCCGGACCCCCTCCCCACCGCCCAGGCTCTTACCAAGTCATTTCTCTCAAACCAAAACCCCACAGCCATGGAATCAGTACTGACTCATAGCAACCCTGTCGGTCCGTGTAGACGTACCCCGTAGGTGTCCAAGACTGTACCTCTTCACAGGAGTAGAAAGTCTCATCTTTCTCCCTCATTTCTCTCAAGAGCACTTCATTTGTGATTACAGTGACTACACACGATGCTTTTTTGGTAACATTGTGTCTGGAATTTAGAGGATCCCAAAGGGGAAAGTTTGAGTGGAAAAAGTACTACAAGTTGGAGACCTTTTTATAATGAAAGGAGGCTGGGTTGGGATTTTGGAGTCCTGTGCTTCTTTTGGTCACATTTGGCGAATCACTTCTCTCTGAATCTCGGCTTCCTTATCCTGAAAAGAAGGGGGCATTGAAGAAGACGAACTGTAAGCTACCCACTAACTCTAATATGCCATTGATTGTATACTGCCCATAGCTCCCTGAACCCACTTATCACTGTGTTTCTGGGTGTGCAAGGCATTTGGTAAGCGGCCTTCCATGCACATACAAGGGTCAGCTATGTGATACTCCTCAGGTCATAGGTCACTACTCGGCTGGTGAAAGAATGACAAACTAAGGTGCCTTGTCCAGAGAAATAGGCACCAAAAAGGGGGTGTGCAATGAATGAAGCACGCTGTAATGCTTGATGAAAAGCCCTTACTTGCTTATGAGTAACGTTGACATAGAGACAGACCATTGGCTCAGCAGTTCAAAATCTTCCAACTAGCTCAGCACCTCACTTAGAGTTGACAGACCTGGAAACTTTAACCTCTTAGCGTAACCGCCCATAGCTTTCATTTCCAGAAACACAGCGGATAAAATAATGGGCTAAACGATTATGCCCAAGCCAAGTGTTTATTGCCTAAATTGATAGAACAGGTTAGTGTTGGGAATCCCTTTAAGAGCTTCCTTTCTTGCCCCATAGCCCGTTCTGCTCGATTCCATGCTGGGTGGAGGAGACTGCCTTACTGGAGAGTAACAGAGAAGACGCATTGGTGTGCATAGATAACTGAAGATGTGCTGTGTTCTGACAATAGTCATTTCATCCATTTAAATCACAGCATTTATTCATTCAGCAAACGTTTATTGCTTAGAGATGGCTCAGAGACTTTTTTAGGAGCTGGAAATCCAAACCTGCGAGGCTCCTGCTGTATAATAGGCGTGTGTTCCTCTCGGTCTGTGTTTGCATGTGGACACACACATATACAAGCTTAGATTTTGTTTGTTTTTTCAAGTAAACCTCTTCATAATTAAAGAGTAATGCAATGGCTAGGCACTCCGCTGCTAACTGAAACGTCAGCGGTTCAAACCCACAGGCTGCTCCATCGGAGAAAAATGCGGCACTCAGTTCCTGTACAGACGATAGACAGCCTTGGAAGCCCTGTGGAGCAGTTCGCTCTCCTCTGTTGCCTGGGGTCACTGTGAGTGGGAACCGACTCCCAGACAACAGAGAGATTTTATTAGTAACTGACTCTAATATGTTCAAAACGTCTAACAAAATTTTTCTATTCTTCCGACTTTCCGGCCGCAAACATTTATTGAGTAGCATGCCAGATATGTTAGAAATGATAAAAACAAACCTGATATCCATGTGTGTTAAAAACTACTTGAGGTATGTAAAAGTTTGTTCAATAATATCCATCTACTTTTATGGAAATGTCTTTCTGACACGTACACAAAAGGACACGTATGTGTGTATATATGTTTATATTTACATGTACATACGCATGAGGATTAGTCCAAAAGCATCCCTGAAAAGTCATAGAAACCTTTCCTCAACAAAAATATCCCGAAGTGTAGCTGTTGTTTCCCAACATAGCCTCCATCTTCCAAAGTGATGTGTCCGTCTCTCCGAATCTTTCCCCCCAAATCCTGTGCTCTGATTGATATGTTACCAGATGAGGTTGGTACCCTTGCAAGGACTCTTTGAATTGGGGAGACAAAATGAAGTCTGAAGGGTGAGGATCCGGGTTGGAAGATGGATAGGGTAAGGTTTCCCAACACAAGTCTCTTTGGATAGCCCTGGAAGAATGAGTATATTGTTATTGTATGGGGGGTGGGGGCAGCAAGGGGGGCAATTCCTGGGCCTGACTCTCCTGGCCTTTTCCTTCCTCATACACCTCCTTGATGGACCCGTGTCCTTCAAGAAGATCTATCCAGATGACGGCTGGGGAACCCCTAAGAGAGTGCCTTAACCGGAGTTGCTCGCACGGAAGTGGCCCAGCAGCACCCCTCTGAAGCCGCTGTGTGCCTCGGAACTTCCTTGGGAAGCATCCTAAGAAGACTAAGACGGGTGTGTTGCTGGCGGAGGAAACTCGCGTGCGGCCATCCACAGATGGCAGCGGCATGTTTAAGTGTATTTGTTCATTTTAAATATCATGATGCGTGTAAGAACTGGTACTCTGGAAGCAACACGTCTTTCGTATGCCCTCACCCAACAGCACAGCAGCAAGATGTCGACCTGCTTGTCCATGCTCAACAAAGGCCACTTGAAACCTCGGGGGACCCAGCAAGAGAAGTCTGGATTTGTCTCCTCCTACACCTCTTCCTGTGACTGTGATTGTGTGGGAGGGAGATAGGAGGAGAGATGGGAAGAAAGAGGAAGGATTGGAAAAAAAAACAAAAATCCCTCACTGGTCTCAGGTGGGACCACTCCCTCACTGCCTTCAAGTCACAGGGCTAATATATTTTCAGCTTCACTGGGGCTGTCCCCTCGGCCGTATTCTGCGGCTCTGTGGACCGGCACCCTTATTCACCTGACCGATCACTGGAGTGGAAGCTCACCGTCCACCCAAGCCAGTGGCAGCAACAAACAAATAATATCCATTTAAAAAATACAAAAATGTCCACAGGCCTTAGGAGAAGTGGTACTTATATTTTCCAAAGACTGTGATAAAGATAACTTCAAAGTTTTTCCAAACTTGGTGTTTGAGTGTGTAAGTGTGTGTGTGTGTGTGTGTGGTGGGGGTAGTAAAATCTCGGACTTTTCCCCTTTCCTGACCAGAAATTCCTTCCAAGAAGTACCAGCCAGTCTCGTTGCAAAATGCTTCCCTTCCCAAGGAAGCGGAAGTGGTCATACTCTTTCCCACCAAACTGGGTGAATTATAATTATCCTACCTCTTGTGGACAATGAGGCAGCAAACATCTGCTGTGCTGAATCAAAAACCCACGACAGGAACAAAACCAAACTCTGAATCATACCTGGACTCGGATGAAAGAATTCCTGTTGTGTTTACCTTTTTCTTTATTTTCTTCACAATTTACAACATGGCTCTGTTAATTCCGGCTCCCGGCTCTCACGAGGGGAAATGTATGGGTTCTATTGGCTGACTCTTCTTTGAGCCTTAGAAAACACAACTTCAAGGCAGAGGGATAATAGTAGTTAATAACAATTTTTCAGTTTGATTTATTATTTTCCTTCACGTGGTTTGTGTTTGGCTTTTTTCCCCTTTTCCTTTAAAAAGATGGTATGTGAGAAAATTTAGAAGTATAAAATCTAAGAACCAAAGCTCTTCAGTTTTCCCCTTCACTGTAGTAACAGTCACAGAGGGTCAGAAATGGTATTTTGAACTTCATTTCCAAAAGAAACAGGCTTTGCATCCACTGTTCTGTACCACGACTTATGCAATCCTGTGTTTATGGTGGCACTAAAAGGTTGACTTAGGATAAGGAACAGACAAACAAGACATCAGTCCTAGGATTAGCGGTGAAAGCCATTTATAATGATTTACTTACTGCCAAATTGTGTCTCTTTATTCTTGCCCATCAGAGAGCAGAAAGACAAACCAGAATGATGGATTCAGCGCAATATGCAGAATTTTGTGAAAGTCGGCAATTAAGTTTCTGTAAGTAAGCATTTCACGTGCAGATCATTATAGGTGGAAGAGAGTGTGTGTTGCAGATGTGCTAATGTCCGGCAAGATCTCTTGTTCCTTAGCAGTTGGAGGATTGACGTAAGTATAGTTCTTATTGGTATAGAAACAGCCCCTGCATTGCTCTGGAGCGCCTGTAAAAGAGTTTCCCCCAAGCCACGATTTCAACCTTCAAAGTATTAGAAGCTCTAAAGGGTGCTTGTAACACACAGAGCCATGGTAATTATCCACAATGCTTTCAGTCCCCCCCCAAAAAAATCAATTTTATTTTCCAAATTCTGAGTCACATTTACACAAACCATGCTGATTGGATTTGCCCCAAATGGAAGCTGATAGTAGGGTCATGACATTTCAGAGTCCCCCGCGTCAATGAGTAGACCCAACTCTCCCTGTCATCTGGGCACGAGCATGTTCACACAGGGCACAGGTCAGTTGACTCTTCCATGTGGCTATTCTGTGTCAGCAGTCTTCCTCAGCCCTGTGTCAGGAACATGTGCAGCGTGTGGCAAAATGAGTGCTTCCCTGGCACGCCCCAGCAGTGCAACCAAAAGTACAGAAAGACCCTTGATAAATAGTGGGCTGGATTGTAAGCGAAATACCCCCACAGCCGCGGCTCGGGGATGAGTCAGGCTCTCGGAGTAAAGGTCAGAGAGAGAGAGAGTGTGATGAAAAGTCCGGTGACAAGCATGACAAAGGGGCGTATGACCCCCGTCTGAGGAATGACACAACAATGGTGTCTTTACACGAAAAAGCATTATGCGGTCACACTAACAATGCACTGGACATGGAAAAAGAAATCGAGAGCTTCATTTATAGATCCGAAAGTGCAAATAAATGACACATGTCAAATAGTGCCCCATGTAAATGTCAGTGAAATATAGGAAAGCAAATTGTGGAAGATGTTTGCCCCCTAACTAAATATACTTTCCAACTGGACTATTTGGCATCGTACATCTGTGAAGCAATAAGTCAGTGACGCTTCAGTTCATGGCAATTTCAGCAAATGAGAGGGTTTTGTATTGTAATTTTTAGGTTTAAAAATGGCATTCAAGACCTTTATAAATATAAATCTCTAGCTCATAAAGTCGCAGTGATATTGAGTTGTTTGGGTTTTTTTTTTTTCCGAATTATATTTTGAAAGTTAATTGTCTTAGAGGAGGCAAAGTCCCCAAATAGGTCTTTTCTTTGAAAAGCAGTTTTTTGGCGTATGTGTTTTGTTTTGTTTTATTTTGTTTTAGGAACTCTTCGTTTTCTCTTTGTAATGCAATAATAAACTGCAGTAGGTTTATTGTGAATACTTTCCTGCTCTACACAGCAGTTGTATAAATAGTTTGTGATGCTTTTTGTTTTTTCTTTAAAGGGAAAGGATTTGGTCATTTAAAAATATTGTTTTTTATGGTGCCCAGGGGTGATTCCTCATGAAACCTTGATGGGAAGATCTATGTTGTGTTCCAGGGGACTGTGGTTGGGAATATTAGCAGCCTAGCAGGTCAGCAGATTCAGAAACAATTCCCACACTGGTCAGCGTCTTTGGACCTTTGCTTTCCTCTCCTTCCTGAAAACCCAGGACACCTGGCTTGTGAGTCTGCCAGGTGTGTCTTCTTAAATGCCTGCTCACAGCACTCACCAATTGGGGTTTCTGCTACAATTTATATAATCACATCTCTCTAGCAGTAAAGGCTGAAAGCAAGCTAACCAGAAGACCCTGGCCGAATTTGCCTTTCTTTTGTTTGGCTGGATTTGTGTAAGTCGGATAGTCAATCCCCCACAGTCTGCTTTCCTCTCATAGTCTTATCAATTCACCAGCGTTTTCTTCTGGTTAGAATTTGTTCAGTCTTTTTTTTGACCCCTTTTGTGGCTTTGGTTAACAGTTGGTATCTAGAATTTTCTTTTCAATTCCTCTCGAAGTTTCTGTGTGTTTTTGTTGATGAATTCCAACAGTGTATATGTGTTTAGTTACGCATACATTTGGGCGTATATCTGCTGTCTTTTTGTATTTTAAACCTGCTGTACTTTTCCTCTTGTACATCCTGTTCAGTTGGTTGGATTTTCTTTATTTGCCTTCCACCAGTTTGAGGTTTTTATATTCTCTTCACATTGTTAGCAGTCTTCTGCAGAACCCACGACACAGCCGGGGCTTCTTGTATTATTTGAGCCACATTCTTAAATTTTCAGGAGGTATCCCTGCCTTAATATTGTTTTAAGTTGATAATGAATTTCTAGACTTCTCTCTGCTTCTTTTTATTTTCCTTAAGGGTCGTTGAGAGTTTAAAACATACGTATTTGACCCCTGTACTTAAATGATAGTTTAGCTGGGTAGAGAACTGTAGGCTGATTGTTATTGGTGGAAGTATTCTCTGTAGCTGAGTTTCTTAAACTGTGGGTTGCAGTCCCCTATGGGCTGGCATAATTGAATGTGGGGCTGATGAAAAATTTGGTAACAGTAAAAGGTTTCTGAACACACAACCACCAAAGAATTATCCAAAATCTAGCTGGTAACAAATCTGAGGGGCTTCAGCCAGTGCTTGCCAGTGTTGCAAGTTCCTCGGGTGATAAGGAGTGGAGAGTGGGGAAAGTTTAAGAAGTCCTGGTCTATTCTGCATCTCTTGTAAGTAAGAAGCCTGCGGTCAGTCTACTTGTTGTTCTTTAGTTTCCTTTTTGTAGAAATGGAGACCAAGATATGTGCTTGCAGGTCCCGTGGTGGGTAGGATGTGAGAACTGAACTGGCAAACCGTAGCTGCACAGTAAATGTCTACAGAAAGACGGGAAGGACACACAGACCCAATGTGGAGGCTGCATGGAAAACTGTGTTTTCAGAGGCTGGCTATTTTCCATGAAAAAGCAACAACAACAAAAATACCATCAAAAAACAGTGCTCTTGAGGATGCTGACGTTGAAGGATTTCTCCAGAATAGAATGTTACGTAGAACACTGAGGGAAAGATTGATGAGAAGAGCTGGTGTAGAAGCCATGAAATAGCATGCAGGGATGAGGGAATGGATTCTTAAAAGGCATGTAAATTTGCTTGTGATCACTGATGATAAAGATACAAAGTATAAGCACTAACCTTTAAATTTTGTAAGAAATTTTATGTAAAGTTGTTGTAACTCAGCACAGCCTGAAAACACAGGGCGTGCCCAGAAGCTGACCATTCTAGCACCTTTTGGTCTTGGGTCAGGAGTCTATTTAAATTGCTGGTCAGTTTCCAAATAACCTTTTCTCCTGAGCAGAGTCCCCTCAGCT